ACTACAACAAATGATAAAATATGTGTTTTGTTTCTGAAGTATATAATAGTTGTGTAAATATTTCATAAAACATATCTAAAGAACATTATTGTTCTCTTTCACGTACTCCCCGCAAGCACGGGTATACCACCTCGTATTAATTCAAAAAGGGAAATCCTAAATATTTGAGTTAGATGTGTTCTTGATTGAATATAAAAAATAACTCCTAATCCATCTTGCATGCAAACTAAAATGCAGTATTTCTTTAATAAGTTCATGTGATGAAATAAGTGTATTTATATTGCTTCACTCGTAGTATGATTTATGCCTGTTCCTTGTGTACAAAATGCAAGTTTATAACCGTAGCACTCTTCTGAAGTCAATACATTCAGTTTTGATGCAGGGGAACTGCAGAATCTCTGCAGAACGCAGAGACTAGGTGGTGTTACGAGATTGCGGCGACTGAGGCAAGGTCACTTGGCTGTTTTGTTGCAGGACAGCTGCAGAATCGCTGACTGCAGAATGCAGAGACTAGGTGGTGTTACGAGATTGCGGCGACTGAGGCAAGGTCACTTGGCTGTTTTGTTGCAGGACAGCTGCAGAATCGCTGACTGCAGAATGCAGAGACTAGGTGGTGTTACGAGATTGTGACGACTGAGGCAAGGTCACTTGGCTGTTCTGTTGCAGGACAACTGCAGAATCGCTGACTGCAGAGTGCAGAGACTAGGTGGTGTTACGAGATTGCGGCGACTGAGGCAAGGTCACTTGGCTGTTTTGTTGCAGGACAGCTGCAGAATCGCTGACTGCAGAGTGCAGAGACTAGGTGGTGTTACGAGATTGCGGCGACTGAGGCAAGGTCACTTGGCTGTTTTGTTGCAGGACAGCTGCAGAATCGCTGACTGCAGAGTGCAGAGACTAGGTGGTGTTACGAGATTGCGGCGACTGAGGCAAGGTCACTTGGCTGTTTTGTTGCAGGACAGCTGCAGAATCGCTGACTGCAGAGTGCAGAGACTAGGTGGTGTTACGAGATTGCGGCGACTGAGGCAAGGTCACTTGGCTGTTTTGTTGCAGGACAGCTGCAGAATCGCTGACTGCAGAGTGCAGAGACTAGGTGGTGTTACGAGATTGTGACGACTGAGGCAAGGTCACTTGGCTGTTCTGTTGCAGGAAAACTGCAGAATCGCTGACTGCAGAGTGCAGAGACTAGGTGGTGTTACGAGATTGCGGCGACTGAGGCAAGGTCACTTGGCTGTTTTGTTGCAGGACAGCTGCAGAATCGCTGACTGCAGAGTGCAGAGACTAGGTGGTGTTACGAGATTGTGACGACTGAGGCAAGGTCACTTGGCTGTTCTGTTGCAGGAAAACTGCAGAATCGCTGACTGCAGAGTGCAGAGACTAGGTGGTGTTACGAGATTGCGGCGACTGAGGCAAGGTCACTTGGCTGTTTTGTTGCAGGACAGCTGCAGAATCGCTGACTGCAGAGTGCAGAGACTAGGTGGTGTTACGAGATTGCGGCGACTGAGGCAAGGTCACTTGGCTGTTCTGTTGCAGGACAACTGCAGAATCGCTGACTGCAGAGTGCAGAGACTAGGTGGTGTTACGAGATTGCGGCGACTGAGGCAAGGTCACTTGGCTGTTTTGTTGCAGGACAGCTGCAGAATCGCTGACTGCAGAGTGTAGAGACTAGGTGGTGTTACGAGATTGCGGCAACTGAGGCAAGGTCACTTGGCTGTTTTGTTGCAGGACAGCTGCAGAATCGCTGACTGCAGAGTGCAGAGACTAGGTGGTGTTACGAGATTGTGGCGACTGAGGCAAGGTCACTTGGCTGTTTTGTTTCTCCCCACTCCCTTCACTTGGCTCTCATTCTCTTGCGAAAGTGAAAGTGCAGTACGGTGAAGGCGTTCTTGAAATGTTCATTTATCCTATAAATATAAGTACGAATACATGGGTGTTGAATATCTAAAACCTGCATCTTCTGGCAGCACTTGTGACTTCAACGGCTGACACAAAGAGAGATTAAAAAAAACTCCTCGGACTGAAGCGTTTTGCTGAGAACTTCTTGTAGTGTTAATTTCAGCAATTAAATCCTTATCGAGTTATGTCAGCTTGGTATAGGTCAAAAGTCTCACATAAATTAAGTTGTTTACAAGTATGATACTCTAAATTATAAACCTAAATATTGTGAGAGAATTCTAAATTCATCCCTAGAAACAAAAGTGTCTTGATCCTCAACTACAACCAAGAATCAAGATTGGTCTCTTGGCCTTTTGCACAAAAATATAGAACTTCATAGTCATTTGCGTACATAGAAAAAATATTGTAACACCAAGGGCAGGTTTGAAGGCCCAGTTATGTAGCACAAAAGTGTTAAAAGTGGTTAAAATTATTCATTTAACCAAGGTAACCATTCGTTTGGTTTTTTAGGGCAGTCCTAAATTTCAAGTTTGATTACTGATTTTTTATAGTCGCTCAGTATGCTGCCTTTCTGAGAATTTCGGACTGCATGGCAAATTCTTACTTCGGTTGAAAATGAATATATTATATATCGCAGACAACAAGGCATTTAACAAAGTAGAGATTAAAATCTACTTTATTATTATGGTTGTTAATTTAACCAAATAATGTATACTATGTTTTCGTCTTGTTTAGCATGAGAGCGTTTACTTTTGTGTTCTTTAAGTTTACATTCATCTCGTTACACATTTAGTGAAATTTGTATGCTATCATGGGGGTGGGGTGAGTTAGTGGTAGTAATTGATTTAGTAAAAAAATATAGTAATATACCGTACTCCTTTCACTCTTATATGCCCAAATTTCAAAGTAAATCTATATACAAAACACCTTGTACTAACACTTTGTACAATTTTAGAAAGGTACAATTACATATGAGGTATCCCGACGATGGAGTGATCTCTGTAACTGGCGTAGTGCTTTAACTTATCAGAATTGCGAAGAAGTGTTATACACACATCTACACGCAGCCTGCCCCACTGAAAAATCGTGTATCTTTGCGTTGTACCTGCATGGAATCTGGGCCCTAGCGTTGTTGTGAACATCACCCACCTCTTAAAATAGGGAGGTTTAAATTTTGGTGGACAGTAAAAAAAGGAAACCAAAAATAACAAAGAGATAAATAGTTTAAGCTATTCATTTACAAGAAAAGTTTTTAATCCTTTTTTTGTTAGCGAATTTCCCATACAGGGAATAAAGCTTTTTTCGAGTGGGCCGAGTTTTCCACAATCTGCGTATGTGTATTAGGCCTATTTGATTTTAAAGTTACAATTGTTATGCTATTTTAACAGCCTAAATCAAGAATAGTTTAAATAAAAAATACATGTTCAAGAGTATTTGGATTTTAAAATATGCTATATGGTTATTGATTTATTTGGACACTATTATGAACACACACCAAACAAAACTTGTATGTTTACCAATAATATCCAATTCAATTTTAGCATTTCTGACAAAAAATAGCTCACACAGTATTTAAATTGAATAAAAAGGTAAACACATTTGCATTTATTTTGTTGGTGCTTCGATTATTTATGTTGTGTACGTGGCCAACTATTTATTGAAATATGAATGCTAACCTAATTATAGTGCTCCCTCCTTCTATTCATTGCAAGATGAATGAAAGTAGGTTAATAGCGATTTCACATGTGTTCTGTCGTATTAATCATAACATCTTATAAATAATAAAATATAGTGATTCAATTAATTTAATTAATTACACTTTTTATTTAGATATGATTATGATGGAAGATTTAATATATAACTAATTTAACGAATATTTATAGGATTAACGTACAATCCATTATAAATCACGAAGGTTTTTATTTTTCAAACCCCTTTCTTCAACATTTAAATGCATCAATTAGGACTCAAATTATTAAGGTATAGCTGTTAGACATAATTATTAAAATAACCTTTACCTACGAAAAAGTGATAAGGTTACTTATATTTTGTCACAATTTATAATTATGACAAACCCTATCTAGTATCTTTATAGATTGTAACAAAGCTAGCTCATTAAAATAGAATATATCATCACGAATATAATATTAAATAGACTGTATAGTTCTTCGAATAATATAATCTAGATAAACTTTTAACATACTACAAGATTTAAACTCAAATTACAAATAAAACTTAGAACAAGTATTACTTATTCAAGTTGAAAAGTTGTATAAGTAATAGATTGTATATACAATGTTGAAGTTTAATGAGGGAACAGTAACACATTGTGGGGTAGAAAGTGTTAACACTGTAAAATTGTGACTTCTATTAAAATAAAAACTAGTAGTAGGTAAAAATTTTATTGTGATTCCAGTATTATTTACCCATAAACAACGGGTTTCGAAAGGCTGGGATTTTTATGGAAAAAAGTGAAACATTTATTTCAAACAAATTGTTGTAATATAATTTATTGTTTTTTATCTACATCAATATCTTACAATTTTTACAAACACCTATTTCACAAGTTTTCTACTATTGCATGAATTTATATGTTAGATACTCTTGCAAGACTGACAACAGTAACTCATTGATTTAATTGTTGTATTTTTGTGGTATTATCTGAATATTTAAAGTTTGTGAATAAAAAAAAAACTTGAAAAGAATAAATTTAAAAATAACTAAGCAGCTTACTTTCAGCACTTACTTACAGCATTTACTTACAGCTTAATGTTTAGAGTATATGTTTAAATCCATTGAATAGTGTTGGTAGGCGTATTTTTACTTTACAGTCTTATAATAGAACTAACGTAAAAATAAACTGAGCGAAAAGATTAGCTTGATGTAGCTGATGAGGTAAGCTTGATAAATACATACTAATTGCAAAATTTAGATTGGACGTTTCATTCAATTCAGTACAACATGTTAAACGTTAACCCATTTTGGTATAGTTAACACTTGTTGTCCAGGGAGCCACATCGTGTAGCAGGGTGTTGATGACGCCACAACCAGGAGTGGGGCCCAGTTAACTTTCCCATAGCGAGAGAAGTGTCCAGTCCAGAGCGAGACGAAGACTGTCAGTATCAAGTAGTATCTGAGCGTGCGAGGGCCGCGCTAACGTCATGTATTCAGCGTTACCTGCGCGCTAGCGAGAGTGAAGTGATAGTGTGTGTGTGTCGTCTTTGCACTGGACCAACTGCTAAAAGTAAGTTTAAAAAGTCCTAACCCTTTCCTGTTAATATTTAGTTTTTCAAAATTGCAATTTATTGTCTAAAATTTATTTTGTGTACAAAATATATACAACTTATATTTTTACGAAAATGAAGTGTAATAATCAGAATTATGCCAAGCAAGACTCCTCTTGTGCCTGATTGCGTCTATGAGTAGATGTTTACTAACTGGATTTTAGTGATTTTCTGGTTATTCCTAACGCCCTAATGTTATTTTCGCCGAAAAAAATATGTGGAAGATAATGGAATTTTATAACAAATTTAATTTATAAGGATATAAAATATGTTTAAAAGCAATATAACCTTTATTTATTAACAAGTAAATTTACAACGTTTGATATTGTACATTTCGCAGCATACAAGTACAACCGGAGAACTGAGGTTTCGGTATGATAGATGGTTAAACAACTACAGTATATGAGTACTGTATATTATTTAGAACATGTAGACAAAATTATTGTAGATCAGTTTAACTGTCACACACTAAAAAGTCCATTATTTGTCATGCATTTCATGGCTGAAATGAGAGTATCGATACAATAATAGTATATTCAATATTGATCTATTAACTTTTTTCAACTAAAAAAATCGACCAGATTTACACTCTTAATTGGAATTTAATTCTGTTAAAATGCTATAGCCTAAGCAACTTTTAAAAGTTAATTTAATCTAAATTAAACCACTCAAGTATGTTTCCCACATTTTGCCTCGGGTTGAAAGAAAGGGACCGTTGCCAGGAGCAGTTTTTGCTCAGCGTGTCGCAAGTTCTGGTTTTCACAGTTCACTCCATCTGGCCTTCGCCAAACCCTTATCCAATCTAGTTTGTCTTTTGAGCTTCTCGCTTGGAGATTAAAAGTGACAAACATAAGAATAACATCGATGAAAAGACATTAGAAGCAAGGGACTTCCAAAAAATCTAATTTACATATGTCCTTGCGAACCCGGTTACGAAATTACAGTTATCAGTAAGATAGGACATACTTGGGTATTATTTTATCGTTTTCAAAGCCCTATTACGGTTCAAGGAAAACTTACTTCAACCAAATTCATATAATTAGGCCTACCGAAATTTGAGGACATTAGGAGCACTTTTGCTTACAAATAGTGTCAGTATGTTCGAATACCTACCACATAAAGGCATTCATAAGGGAACAAAAATAAAAGGTAGCCTACATTCAACGCCCTATGTACAACATACCAAATGGATATGGTGTGTGATGATGTGAATAAACCATAGTACTTAATGTCCATAAAAACCTTCACACTACGTAAATTTGCGATTTGTTATCTTGTTTAAATCATGATACTTAATGGTGAAAGAAAAAACGTATAGTTGAGAAAAAAACTAAGATTTTACAAAATGTATTGGTTCCTAGTTCACAGCTAAAGGCAGACAACAGTCAAATTAAAAGACTTTACTTATTCATTACTATTATTATTCGTTTGATGCCTCTATGGTGGTATCATAATCACCATCACGTTAATGGAAGTTGTAAAATAAAATCAAACCTCTTCAATAATAATGAAACCATGATTACAAATGACTCTTCGAATGTTAGACTACTTGTTTTTTTTTCACCAAGAGGATGTTTATTCACCTAGTATGGTAACCTAATTGATGTCGATGTAAATAACCAATTGTTTATATGACAGGCTGATTGAGAGGTCAGAGTGCGAGACGTTCTAGCTAGTGGCCCGGGGTCAAATCCCATGAATCACCAATATATTAGCTTGGGACAGTAACCCACCTGGAGATAAAGATTTACTAAAAAACCTAACATTTTCACGTGACTATTTTCTCTATACTGGAGAGCCCTTTTTATAAACCTACAGTAATTAAAACATCTAATGTTAAGTTCATTAATAAACTAATTTACATTAGTGGACCTAGGGCTTTTAAAAATTGTTAGTTTGCTTGTTTTCATAGACCTTATAACATACTGAGGTAGACGTCTCATCTACTTGTCCAGCTGCAGTCTTTTTATAAAAAATAACATATTTGAACGAGCCAATTACAGAGTTTGTTACCTCCCTTAGAGGTTCATATTGATAGTTGGTAACTACAATAAGTCGTGCTTTTGGCTTGGTAAGTTTCAGTTTGGCTGGGTTTAACGGTTGGGGAATTGAGTAATTGCACCACCGCTTCAGCTTTAACATGGGGGTAAACGTCTACTTCTATCAGTAGTCAAAGGTTGTTGCCATTCAACGAACACATTACATCTAGATGGATTCAGCATTCAGCTATTTATATTTCACCACATATGACCCCCATGTTGATGTGAGCGTGGACGAGATTGTAGTAACATGCTGGTAGTGTTGAGTGTTGACAGAAACTGAGAGCAAGTCTGAAAGCTGGGCTGAGATGACACCTGTGGGACTAGCACACTTTCCTCCGTAATACCAGGACCCGGCCTCGGACTACGTTACCGCGATTTCGCTATTTACACTCACAGCTGTAACTCAACAGGATCCGACTTACACTGCTTATCATCGTTGGTTTTCTATGAAATGTTGTCTTTGGTAAATAGCTAAAGATAAAAAAAAAAACCTTAGTGACGAAACAACTTAGATGTTTACGGCTTGTTTTTTTAAATTTGTATCGCATGTACAGGTACAGACTTTAACGAATTTCTCTTCAGTGAACTATAAAAAATATTCTCCATGGCCCCACTGTACTCTGACGGTTTAAGATCCCCAGAAGCCAAAAAGGTTAGTTTAGTTTGCTGTGTTGTGTTTTTGATGGGTTGTAAATGACTAATGTGATTTACTTATATGACTGTATCCTTCTAAACATTTCACGAATAAAAAATAATCCATAAAAAAATGATGCATTTTATAACTTAAATAAAGATACTCTTTTTCTATTGGAGCCCACGTTTGATGATCAAGGCAGAACCGAGGCTGCAAATGAGCAAGGGTAGAAAACATATTTTCGATCCGTGTGATAAACTAAACTTTTCATCATGTTGCACTCGATTTATTCAACGATTTGGCGTGTTTTTGTAGTTCGGAGGACTGTAGATGCTTTAGATCGAACTAACACATTTTTAATAAATTCAAAGTTCAAAATATCGAAATATTTTTACATTAAATTCAATGGAAAATTAAGTGTTCATTTGTTGTTGTACAATGGCCATTAAGAAATGCAAGAATAATTATGTTATATATTTTTTTTGTTTGGGACAATTTTCATTGTTATCATTAGTGGATGGAATTCGCAAGAAACAAACTTACAGGGTGTCATAGACTTCAGCTGATTCTTACTGGTTCTAAGATAAAAATAACCATTGGGTGTTTATTTTTTAACGCACATCAAATTACAAGTACGGTGGGACAATGTTTTAGACAAAACAAGTTCATATATTTTCCTGTCTTCTTGTTTCATTCTCGATCAAATTATATGCATTGTCGCATAATTATTTATGAGGTTTAGTGTTACTGGGAATTAATTGTAAATAAAAATTAACAATGCGTTTTTACAAGCTCACGTAGTAATGTACAAGCTCATCTGAATGTTTGCAGGTAATGTTTTTTTACTAATTTTAAACCTTTCTTAGTAAACAAATTTATGATTTACTTATAACGTAATCTTCTACATAGAATACGTTAAAATTACATCGAATACGTTACGTTGAATACGAAGAATACGTTAAAAGTAAATCATCGATTTTATGCCAAGAAAGGTTTGAAGTTTTCAGTAGTGAATCCAGTACCTAACTAATAAATTAACTATTTAATGTTTAAAAATTTTGGAAACCGGATCCGTAGAAATAAAAAATAAACGGTATTCTACAATACATAGCCTACTCTATTTGAGCTCGTGAAAACACATGTCAAGTCCTATTTGCAATAAACTCTCGATAACACTAGCCTCATAAAATGTAACAATGCAATCAGCTGCTTGGCAATGAAGTAAAGAAAACGGAATTACCAACATAAAAAAGCTTGTTCTGTTAAAACGTGACTCGTGATTCTTTTAATTTGGATTGCGTAAAAAACACTCTGTAGGCCTACTTTACACTCGCAATGCATGTATTAAAATAATTTAAAATAGCCTTTTTCCTGCAGTTTAACGAAAAGGCTTTTTAAGGGTTACACAACTAATATTATTAGATGTAGGGTATTGTGTCTGCCGTGAATTACTTGTTGCTCTCTCGATATCGCAGTGGGCTAAACCATTCCCCAGTGACTGTCAACTACTCGGCTCATAAAGCAGTGCAGTTGCTCCACTTATTCGTTTGATTACTTCGGAGTTAGTTGATGTCGTACTTTGGAAAGTGTCGATTCGTTTTTTCTCACAGCTGTGATGTAATGGAACCGTTACTCCGAATTTAACTAATTTCTGAATAACTTGTAAAGATCCCAAAAAAGGTAGGCTACAACTCAAAATCGTACAATACAAATCTTAGGTTGTTATATCTTTAGGGGAATGTTGCTGAAAGTCAACAGTCCCGGAAGATCAAATAATTTATACCTGTGCCGCTAGGTCAAAAACTACAATGTTTGCAGTGTCTGTGGATCAAAAGTCCCAGTAAGTCAAATAGTACAGTCCGAGCTAAAAACGTGGTCTATGTTAAAGCAATTGACTTATTGGGAATTTGACCTAATGCAACAGCAGTTTTAATATAACGAAATACGGTAAAATACAAAGTTCAGTTTCGCTGAGTCAACAGTGCCGGAAGATCAAAAGCAATAAAAGTGAACGTCGATTCAGTGTAAAGTAGACCTCCTGCAACGCTTACTACACCAACAAAACTCGCTTTTAGTTACTTCATGTTTTGTCATAATTAGAATAGAGCTAAAATTATCATATTTGGTACATAGCTTATCTATTAATGCTTCTTGCCAACTGTTTGGTCAACACTGTAAATAGGTATAGTTTATGTAATGAAAAGCCTTTCGTCAAAATTTGTGGCATAAAATACACGCAAGGACGATCTGAAAATTTCTGGTTATTATATACGTTTGTAAAAGG